GTGAGGTGATGGCATGCTACGCTGGGGTGGTGGCATGCTACGTCTGGGTGGTGGCATGCTACATCGGGGTCGAGGCCAGGAATCTCATTAGCACTTCATACGAATAGGTCAGCATTCTCCCAGAGGATGGCCTTTAGTTTCTTCCTCACCAGGTCGGGGAGTCCAGTGCCAATCTTCACGCTTCTTCCTGGGTCATCTCCGAGCGTGATGAGCTCGAAGTCTCCATCTGGTCGTGTAGTACTTCATCTTCAGGTGTATTGTAGATGGAATTACGGTCAGTTCAGCTAAAGTCGGCCTTCCCAGTATACACTGGTACAGAGAAGGGCACTCGATCACCAAAAAGCGGACCTTTACTTGTCTGGCGGTCTCCTCTGCTCCGAATATGACGAGCAGCTCCACGTATCACCAAAGCTTTGTGGTGGTGTTGTTGAAGCCCTGTAGGTTGGAGCCGACATACGGGGTTAGGTGGTTCTCGTCGAGCTGGAGGGTTATAAACAGATGGGCATACATAATGTCCACCGAACTCCCTTGGTCGACTAGGATTCGGCGCACGTCGAAGTTTGCCATTTGGGCCCTGATCAAGAGGGGGATGCTGGAGTTGGGTGCACCCCCGAGGAGCTCCTCGAGATAGAAGGTAATCGGGTTTGATTGACCTTTGAACTTGTCGAGGGTACCCTTCGTCTTTAAGCTTTTATCGATTAGCTTCTCGAACTTCCTCTTGACTAACCCGACTGAGAGCTTGTTGGGTCCCCCGCTAGATATGACTAAGGCGGCGGGGAAGTCTTCACATGGACTATGGTCAGACAGCGGTGTGGCGGGATCGTAGAGAAGGATAGGATCCTCTGGCCGGGAGACACATAGGGCAACCTGCAATCTGGCTTCTTCGAAAAGCGGTAACACTTCCTCGACCCTCTTGGCTTTGCGGGTCTCCTATCGAGAAGCCTCGCCTCTCCAGGTGTATTGTTTCAAGTGCCCTTCCTTGATTAGGATCTCGATTACATCCTTGAGATGGATGCAATCTTCCATGACGTGTCCATGACTCCGGTGGAATTAGAAGTATTTGGATTTGTCGATTTTGTGCTTCGGGGGCGTCGGTTTCAGGAAACGGACACCACCTCTCTGAAACTATAAACTGATACACTCGGACATGATGTACGGGGAGCCGTGAGTAGCGTGTACTTAGTGAACCGGCCTTCCGGCCCCCTCTGCTCACGGGGTCGGTCTTCTCTTCTTCTTTCTCCGCCTCTTCGAGGAATAACATCGTCCTCGTGCCTGACACCCCTGACGCCTTCTTGATTCTACGTGTCGCATGCATTATAGGCGACCTCTATTTCTTCATACTGAATTTATGATTGGGCCTCGAGGAGGAGAGAATTCAAGGTGCGGGGTCGTTCGATCCCACGAACTTGGCGAAGTCGGTGCAAAGACGCAGTCCTTGCTCGATCAGGAATTTCTTCATGTCGTCCAAGGTGGCCACTTGGACAACTTCTCGGTTGAACCTCTCTATGTAGTCCCGAAGATGTTCGTTTTTTCCCTAGATGATGGCTTCTAAGGCCGCCTCTGTCTTTAGATGGTGCCTGGAGAACTGCCTATTTAGTTTGTACCAGAAGGTGATGAACTCGGGCGCGAGGTGCTTGTACCACGTCATGGTACCCTTCCTCAGGATAGTGGGGAAAAGCCTGCACTTGATGGCTCATCTTACGTTCTGATAGTCGAGCATCGCATTGATGCTTTTTATGTGATCGTCCGGGTCGGTCGTGCCATCATATGTCGCCAAGGGGGCTTTTCCATCCCAATGGGCAATGGAGTCTCCCTGATGGCCCTGGACAGTGGTGAGCGTTGGTCGTCCTTGTCGCCCCTGACAGGTGACTGAGAAGGGGAAAGGTCACAGAGATTGTTTCTGTTTCGTCGGGGAGGACTCCTTGGGCGGCTCTTTGGCTTCCCAATGCCTCCTTCAACTTTGTTCCTTTTCTTCATGGAGAAGTGTCGCTCCTTCCGGAGAGGTGAGTGGTCGCACTTTTGGGAGGCCACTGGCTGAGTCCGCTCCAAGCGAGGGCGACGTCCAGTAGGTCGGAGAGAAGGGCTCTTAGAGTCATTGTGTCACATCTTTCGTGGGGGAGGAGAGGGGTTGCTAGAGATGGGGCGACGATGTCTCCACAGGGGACAACATGATTGTCACTCCTTCTCGAGCATTCTTATGCGCTCATTCTATTGGAAGATCATCAGGTTGGTCTGGTTGAACGCAACGAACAGGGCCACCATGGTGGGGTCGGCGCTGGGTGGCACCGGGATCGGCTGGTAGATAACCGGACTATCAAAGCGGTATGCGGTGTTGAAGGCTGCGTCTTCTAAGGAGGGAGAGATGGTATTCCCATCCCTGGAGTCGCCTTCCTCGGCGTGAACGGTCACATTGGGATCGTGACCGTCACTGTTGGTGAAGGGGACGGATGCGGTTTCTGGAGCATTGTCGTTGCGTGGGTTGACCATGTTCAAACGAAAGTTGGATATTTCTTTGGTTCTTGAGCTTCTACGCTTGTATAAGAGAAAGAACGGGGGAGCAAAGAGTTTCCACAGAGAGCGCCACTGATCTTACCTAATCAGAAAGGAATCAGCGGCCTGCCATGCGTCATGAGCTCCTGTGTTCACCCGTGTTAATGAGGAGAAGGGGGTGTACCTGCAAGGTACTCCGATGCTTAAGTGAGTGGAGTTTTAGAAAAGCAAGTACAGAGAGATTAGGTGTGTAGTATGGAATACCTGACTCTCTAGTAAAAGAGGGTATTTATAATGTGCCCTCAGCGCAGGGCCAACGATTACTTTGCATTGGATTGAATCGCAAGACCCAATACGAGTAACTGTCAGGACTTACAGGGCGTAGGGAAGACCAGCACGTGGTCTTCGCCCTGGATCAACTGCCCCGTGATCTTCGGAAGGTGGGCTGACCAATTCTTTCAGAAGTTGAGTAGTTGCCTAATGACGTGTCCCCGTGTGGGGGGCACACAAATTCCGTGTGGGAGAGGTGTGGGAGCTCCCCGTGCTAGGTAGTGGTTTGCCCGACGCCAGTATTATGCATGCCCGGCATGAGGGAATTGGTCCTTGTTGCTCCCTAACGTAGTATTGGGTTGGGCCTGCCCGACTGAGGGGCAGGTTTCGGCCTAGTCTAGAACAATACTTATATTTTCTTACTTCAAAATTATACATTGATTTTTCTCACACCACTAAATTTTATCTATACTTTATTCAATCTTTCTCTTTTAAATCTTATACATTAATATAATAAACACTTTTTTTTCATATTTTTTTTTAGTTTCTCTTAGGTTAAATATTCGAGTATTATTCTATACAATTTAAATATTTATTGTATTTAAAAATATATTATAATATTATAAAAGATAATATAATACTTAAAAACATGTTTAAAATAATATAATTTTTAATTTTATTTATGAGGTTTTTATTTTAATTTTTGATTAAAATTTTTTATTTAAGGCTGAGTAGTCCGAATTCTATCTATAATCAGGATCATGTAATAATTTTTAAACTCATATTACGACATGATTTTTTTGATCCAACCCTAAAAAACACGACACCCATCTGAACCTATCTGTTTAAAATCGAATAGTTGATTTTAATAGTTCTATCATATCTCTCTTTAGATGCTTTTGAAGTGAACAAAAGTTATGTACACATGTTTATTCAAAACAAACAACAAAACACACACATGACTCATGCTAAGTACTATGGCTTCAATTAAAATAAAAAAGTAATAACATAAACTTGACCAAAGTCATAAGATTCTTTCAAGTAACACTTTTTATATTTTTTGCATGATCATTTTACATACTTAAATTTACAAATTACCAATAGTCCAATAAATAGTGAAAGAGTGCATCATCAATGGCATCACTGAACATATCAATTAATAAATAATTAGCTCTCGAGATTATATTATATTTTGCACAAGCTCTACCAATTCTTACACTATTATTATTAACAAATTTTTTTACACTAATTAAAAAATAATTAATAAAGAACGTGAATCATGTAACCGACATAACTATCATTGTGACAAAACCTCGAGGTTAAACAGATGTTGACAGTGATAATGACCAAATAAATAACAAATGAAGCATTCTCACTCACATAAATCACTATAATTGTGATTAAATAAAAAAATAATAAAGAGTATTCTATGATCTCATACTAGTATTAAAAAATAGTATACTTTAAAATTCATTATTGTAGCATCAAGCTAGCCATACACAAGCCAAGCTGCCAAACATGGCTCAGATAACAAAACAGTCCATGCTAGAGTTTATCTCAAAAGCTAATAAATATTATTTTTTTAAATAATAAATAAATATTTATTCATATATAAACATAAAAAGTTTTTATATTATCTTTCAATTATAACAATATTAATTTTTTTTGGAAAAAGATGATAAACTTTTCTTTAAAATTCTAAATTTTTAGTTTAAAAAGAATGAGATTGTGTTAAATATTTTGACTGGTTTTTATTTTTGCCTTAAAAATTTATATCTATAATTATTAGAGATATATTTAATTCATAACAAAAATCAATTATAACGGTTTTTATATTTATATATTAATGTAAATAAATTATTAATATTTATAAAGTAATAATTTTATTTATATTTCTATATTAGCATAAACGAATTATTAATATTTATAAATAAACAATTTTTTCAACAATAGAAAACTTTTTATACTTGATAATGCATGACAATTATATTTAAAAATAAAAATCTATATGAAAAAAAAAGGTAATATTCACAATGCATAGGTGGAAGAGAATTGAATAACAGGACCAATGAGTTTTGGATATAAAGGCGAGAATTGATGAGTTTAATCTGCCCCTCATGATAAGAACTTCAAATAAGTTCAAAACCAATAGATACATGCATATCATCACAAAGCAAAGAACTAAATATCCTCCTATACCATCAAAAAATTCATCTATATCTTCAAAGTGATTAAGCAACATGTTTGAATTAGAAACTATGGAGTATGGTCAATATAGTAGCTATTCAGCAGAAGCAGCAGCTGAGGAAGAAGCTTATGCAACTAGCAGCACATCTTCCATGATGAGAAAGAAGAAAAACAAGAATACAAAAAGGTTTAGTGATGAACAAATCAAGTCATTGGAAACTATGTTTGAGACTGAGACAAGACTTGAGCCAAGAAAGAAGCTGCAGTTGGCTAGGGAGCTTGGGTTGCAGCCAAGACAAGTTGCTATATGGTTTCAAAATAAGAGAGCTAGATGGAAATCAAAGCAACTTGAAAGAGAGTACAATAAACTTCAAAATAGTTATAATAGTTTGGCTTCAAGATTTGAATCAATGAAGAAGGAAAAACAAACATTACTTATTCAGGTACTAATTTTCATACAAATTTGTTGCTTAATCCGAATTTTCTCAGTTCAATGGTACTCTTACCACTAATCTGATACGTATCAGATCAGTGGTAACAAGTATGTATCACTAATTTGACATGTATCAGATCAGTGGTAAGGGTTTTATTCTAGGACTATATGACAAGATAGTCGTAGACTAGTCATTAGTTAATACATTTTTATTACAATTTTTATCATTTAGCTATATGGCTAATTTCTATGATGAACAGTTGAAGAAGCTGAATGATCTAATACAGAAGCCAATAGAGCAAAGTCAGAGTTCATCACAAGTTAAAGAAGCGAACAGCATGGAAAGTGAATCAGAAAATGGAGGAAGAATGAAATGTGAGGCTGAGGTGAAACCAAGTACTTCAATGGAAAGATCAGAACATGTTCTTGATGTTGTATCAGATGATGACACAAGCATAAAAGTTGAATATTTTGGGCTTGAAGATGAACATGGACTTATGAATTTTGGTGAACATGGTGATGGATCATTAACTTCACCAGAAAATTGGAGTGGTTTTGAAACAAATGATCTGTTAGGCCAATCAAGTTGTGATTATCAATGGTGGGACTTTTGGTCTTGAATGAAACAGAACAATTAGAATTGTGTGGTTGAAATGTATGCAGAATATGTAATGATGTTACATCAATCATTGTTTTGTTGAAGATGTTGGCAGGGTGAAAATCAAAGGACATTTTGTTTTCTGTACAACATAGCTATTAGTTGAGTTTGGCCATGTTTGAGTATATAACTTAATTAAACACTTACACTATATAAGTGTTTATGGATAAAATAAATTCAAATTGTTCTCATATAGATTATGCGTTTTTATAGGCTATGATGAAGAGCTTATTAAATGTGCTCACAACATGCTAGTGTCTCCATTCATATAAGACCTATATGACAAGGTGTAGGACAACTTAAATAAGTGTTTGGTTCTCTAACTTGGCATGCCATATCACATCTCAGACACATTTAGCAATGTGGAAGGATATACATGTTTGCATCCCATGAGGTGTATGTGTCGAATTCCATAAATCCTAGCTAAGAAATAAAGGCATTTGAAGAATGAAAATGGTTATACCAAATGACACCATTAATCTTTGATTGTTTAGTAGGTTAGTTATTAGATAACTGATAATTAGAGGCAGTTACTCAAATGTGAGATGATCCACATTGTTTTAAATTGTGGACGACATCACGTGATGTGGGCGTAATATTTCAGTTGCGACAATGTCCTTAATCACATCAGGGTCGCAATTCCACCGTTTTTTTAAATGACATATGTTGTGAAATTGAAAGGTTCAATCGCACTAATAAATTTAATGTATAAAGACATATATTTGTTGTCGCGCCTCAGCCACATGGTCTTCATCCAGCCTCCCACCAAGCTGACTCTATCGCCAGCCTCCCTGTGCCCTGACACCACAGTAGTCTCAATATGTGACGTCGCGCTATCTCTTGTGCTAGCCTTACGTAGTGCCAACTTTGTCGTCAACCTCATACTAAACCAGCTTCACAACGAGCATCATTCTGCGGCAGCTCCGCCAACCATCTCCTTCTGACAACCTACACGTGGCTCAGATGCCATTTGACGATATCCTAGTTGGTTCTATAACTTTTTTGTTTATGCAAGTTTTGAAGTATATTTTATTTCTCTTCATCATTTAAAGTCTCGAGACATACTTCAACAATCTCTACATTGACTTAAAACCATGGTGATGTTAATTTTACCAATCAATCATCTTGTTGCTCTCTACTTTGTTGAATCACTATTCAACAACATAAATCAAGTTCAAGCCACACTCGAACCTTGATCTTGCACCTTTCATCCACTTACTTTCAATCACTTTTTTTTTGTTGCTTCAGTAGTCTAATAAGGCCACAAATATGTTTTTTCAACCATCTTGGACTCCACTTGCTTTTGAATGCCTCCTTAGAAGTCCCTATTACTGAGTTTTGCAACCCTTAAGCCACATTCAAAGCACACCCAAGACCTACATAAATGTCCTTTTCAGAATGTACAATCTCCCTCATTACCTTATTAGGAGTCAAACGATAATTAAAGTCCTCTATAATCTTTCTCTCACTACTACTAGTATCTATGGTAGAAACCTCATACTGAGTCTTTTCCACCATAACTTCTAAAAGCTTCATCCCCATGTTTTTACTCCTCTTCTCCTGATGGGACGCACTGAAAGTAATACATTTGCAATTAATTAACTTTGATCCTCCAGGTTCTACTCCTAACAGCTCATGACCCTTTCTACTTCTTGGATAATCATTAAAGACACAACACAAAACCTTACCATCAAGTTGAATTAGCTCTATTTATACAATAGGAAAAGTTTTGACGAACTTCAAAACAAAGTAGGTTACAGTCTTCCTACTAAAAATCTCCATAAGTATTTGGAAGTTTATTCTTGTAAATGAACACTTTCCAGCCAGGTCATCTTCTTTGAAACCTGCCTTATTCTAGAAACTAAATGACAACTTAGAGGTTCATGGTATTGGTACCAATGAGAACATTTATATTATCATAATCATGAACCATGCAATTCTTATTGCCACCAAGGAGAACTACTCCATCTTTCTTTAGCTTTAAAGTCTCTATTCTTTTCTTGAATACATGTAATAAGAGAAACCTGAATCTATGAACCAACCAACTTTAGTCTCTAATCTCATTACCACTAATTCACCATCACTCTCATAACTATCCTCATCTGAGATAACTACAATTTGAATAAAATCACCATTTTCCCTCTTCTCGGGACAAACCCTTATGAAATGATTGATTTTCTGGAAAGTAAAACATTTTACCTTTGACTTGTTAAACCTCTTTGATTTCGACATACCTTTACGCCAACTTCCTCCTTTTTAGAAACTCAAGCCTTCACCATTATTGCTAATCTTCAAATCTTTCACGTATGAAATTTCTAGATTTCATAGCTGTCTAGACCTCATCAAAAGTAATAGTACATTCCTAAACATAAAAAATGGTATCCTTAAAGTTCTTGAAGAATCTGGGTAATGAGCTCAACAAGAGTTGAGACTTGTCCTTATCTTCAATATTCACGTTAATATTCTAAATATCATCAATAATCTTGTGAAATTATGTCAAATGATCCACTATGAGTTTGTTCTCTACCATTTAGAATGAGTAGAGATATTGTTTAAGATACAACCTATGATCCAAAAACTTAGTCATATACAATGATTCAAGTTTTTCCCATATATAAGCCGCAGTCTTCTTCTTAGCAATTTCTCTTTATAATAGAATCCCTGAGGCACAAGATACCGAAAATTTTGACCTTATCCACCATACCAATCTTCTCCGCTTCTGCTAGGTGTGCAGATATCAATGTCTTACCCTTCAATACTTCAAAACACTTCTCTTGAGTTAATATTTCTTTCATCTTCACTTTCCACAACCTAAACTCACTATCTCCATAAAACCTCATGATATCCCATTTAAAACCTATGGTGCTCACTTATAAACAAAACCCATTTTCCCAATGATGGGCATCACTTGTTGAGAAATTAAAAGGTTTAATTACATCAAGAAATATTACGTGTGGGGAAACATAATAGTGACAACCAAAATAAAAGGCCTTAAGAAAAAATAACTCTCTATGCAATAAGACATCAACTTTACTTAGCAAAAGAAGATAAAAGAAAAAGAAGATAAAAGAAAGAGAATTAACAAAATAACTTATTCACCTAGTTCGATCACTCGATTTATTATGAGGGATATAACAACTCTTTGATTAAATATACTTCCAATAGTTTTTATAAAAGATTATAGATGAGTTACAAGAAAGTAGTCATCCTAGTTCACAATAACAAATCCTATTTTTTACCAAAGTGTTTCTCAACCTATCCAACTCTTTCTATATATGAATCGCACAAGTTAAAAGTGTTCAAAAATATTTCCAAATCCCACTTAGATATTTCCAAGGTTTTCCTAAATTCTAAGAACACACTTTTAAGATTTTACCATTTTTGCTCTAAAATTATCACTAGGATTCCAAAATCTTTCTCACTGGCTTCAACTATAAAGTTATGAAGGTTGTGATGATAAGAATAGAAGAGATACATAGTTATAACTATTGAAAACCAACAATTCAATAACTATCCCAAAACATAATACATTAACGAATAGATCCACCAACTAAAATAATAAAGCCCAATACGCGTGAACCGAGAAAAATTAGACCCGAGCTCTGACGAAGGGAACTCCCCGCTGAACCCAGGCCCACTACTAATTTGTCACCAATAGCTCTGCCTCCATCCTTCTAATGTGTAGGCTCCACCGAAAACCTCACTCTGCCCTGGCTCTACCGTCGACTTTACTCTGCGTCGTCGTGGCAGCTACACTGGCCACCTTCACAAGACCACTTACCTATAGTTTCAACGCCTTTTAAAGACATCATGACAACATTTACAACTATTGGTACCTGAATTGGCGCGCTCTCTCTCTATATAGTATAGAGGAAATAACAAACTTGTTATTTTTAGGTGTGGTTTGCAAAGAGCCGTTGGATGTACCTAAATTTTGGATCCTATGAGTTCATCAATAGGATAGTTCTCGCGTGTTAAAAAGGTTCTAGAAGGATTGAATCTCCTTTAGAGTGTTCATACGGGATCGATATTGTTGGCCTAGAACAGTTTCTCCCAACCCCTTGCATATGCGTAACAAGCAATAGTTTATTATATTAGCCTCATCTGCCGATCGCTCTCTCATTTGTCTTAGAAGAGAATAAAGGGACATTTCATTTTCTTAGGGATTCACACATTTAATACTTCATACTTCAAACTTCTTTTTGAAGGTACCCTTATTATGGTCCTTGGGAACTGAAACACTCGAGTGTTGCGTGCGAGTGATTTGGCACGTTTGATAGAGTCTGCTTTCTTTTGCATGCTAGCATAAGATTCTTGAAGAGTCAGCTTCACATTTCTTTGAGTTGACTTTCCCAATTTGCAGTTATTCTCCTTCCTTTTGATATTTTTCTTTCCTATATCTGAAAAAGTTAGTTCATAATGGGTAAAAAATCACATAAGAGTGCTCAAAAATCCTAGAATAATGAGTAATCTTCATGGGTGCGCTCATTTTATTCTTCAACGTATGTATTTACCAAAGAGGGTAATATTTATGGAGCCTTTCTTGAGGTTATTCCATCTTTAGATTGTGGGTATCTTATCCCTTAGCGAGAATGACAAAATATGTAGTGAGCATGGCAATTGCTTCATTCCTTTTTATGAATGCACCTTCTCGGTCCATGCCGTCGCCTTCCCTTTAATGATTTTAATATGGAAGTTTTAAAGCATATATGGTAGTGGATCAGTTGCAAATTTATCCAATAAGTTTGGATTATGTGAAAGCCTTTTTGTACTGGTGCAAATATGTGAAAGTCTTCTCTGACCATTTTGTTTCACCTCTTTCGATCTTATCACAGACCTGCCACTCTAACATGTAATAGAGGAATAGTTTCTATGGTGCCAAATGTTAAGGGTTTCAGGTTTTTTTTAATGCTTGCAACAGTTTGAAGGTCTATTTTATTTGGTTACCCATATACTCTAGAA